CCCACAACGTGTCAAGCGACGCTGCTGGCTCCCACAACGTGTCAAGCGACGCTGCTGGCTCCCACAACGTGTCAAGCGACGCTGCTGGCTCCCACAACGTGTCAAGCGACGCTGCTGGCTCCCACAACGTGTCAAGCGACGCTGCTGGCTCCCACAACGTGTCAAGCGACGCTGCTGGCTCCCACAACGTGTCAAGCGACGCTGCTGGCTCCCACAACGTGTCAAGCGACGCTGCTGGCTCCCACAACGTGTCAAGCGACGCTGCTGGCTCCCACAACGTGTCAAGCGACGCTGCTGGCTCCCACAACGTGTCAAGCGACGCTGCTGGCTCCCACAACGTGTCAAGCGACGCTGCTGGCTCCCACAACGTGTCAAGCGACGCTGCTGGCTCCCACAACGTGTCAAGCGACGCTGCTGGCTCCCACAACGTGTCAAGCGACGCTGCTGGCTCCCACAACGTGTCAAGCGACGCTGCTGGCTCCCACAACGTGTCAAGCGACGCTGCTGGCTCCCACAACGTGTCAAGCGACGCTGCTGGCTCCCACAACGTGTCAAGCGACGCTGCTGGCTCCCACAACGTGTCAAGCGACGCTGCTGGCTCCCACAACGTGTCAAGCGACGCTGCTGGCTCCCACAACGTGTCAAGCGACGCTGCTGGCTCCCACAACGTGTCAAGCGACGCTGCTGGCTCCCACAACGTGTCAAGCGACGCTGCTGGCTCCCACAACGTGTCAAGCGACGCTGCTGGCTCCCACAACGTGTCAAGCGACGCTGCTGGCTCCCACAACGTGTCAAGCGACGCTGCTGGCTCCCACAACGTGTCAAGCGACGCTGCTGGCTCCCACAACGTGTCAAGCGACGCTGCTGGCTCCCACAACGTGTCAAGCGACGCTGCTGGCTCCCACAACGTGTCAAGCGACGCTGCTGGCTCCCACAACGTGTCAAGCGACGCTGCTGGCTCCCACAACGTGTCAAGCGACGCTGCTGGCTCCCACAACGTGTCAAGCGACGCTGCTGGCTCCCACAACGTGTCAAGCGACGCTGCTGGCTCCCACAACGTGTCAAGCGACGCTGCTGGCTCCCACAACGTGTCAAGCGACGCTGCTGGCTCCCACAACGTGTCAAGCGACGCTGCTGGCTCCCACAACGTGTCAAGCGACGCTGCTGGCTCCCACAACGTGTCAAGCGACGCTGCTGGCTCCCACAACGTGTCAAGCGACGCTGCTGGCTCCCACAACGTGTCAAGCGACGCTGCTGGCTCCCACAACGTGTCAAGCGACGCTGCTGGCTCCCACAACGTGTCAAGCGACGCTGCTGGCTCCCACAACGTGTCAAGCGACGCTGCTGGCTCCCACAACGTGTCAAGCGACGCTGCTGGCTCCCACAACGTGTCAAGCGACGCTGCTGGCTCCCACAACGTGTCAAGCGACGCTGCTGGCTCCCACAACGTGTCAAGCGACGCTGCTGGCTCCCACAACGTGTCAAGCGACGCTGCTGGCTCCCACAACGTGTCAAGCGACGCTGCTGGCTCCCACAACGTGTCAAGCGACGCTGCTGGCTCCCACAACGTGTCAAGCGACGCTGCTGGCTCCCACAACGTGTCAAGCGACGCTGCTGGCTCCCACAACGTGTCAAGCGACGCTGCTGGCTCCCACAACGTGTCAAGCGACGCTGCTGGCTCCCACAACGTGTCAAGCGACGCTGCTGGCTCCCACAACGTGTCAAGCGACGCTGCTGGCTCCCACAACGTGTCAAGCGACGCTGCTGGCTCCCACAACGTGTCAAGCGACGCTGCTGGCTCCCACAACGTGTCAAGCGACGCTGCTGGCTCCCACAACGTGTCAAGCGACGCTGCTGGCTCCCACAACGTGTCAAGCGACGCTGCTGGCTCCCACAACGTGTCAAGCGACGCTGCTGGCTCCCACAACGTGTCAAGCGACGCTGCTGGCTCCCACAACGTGTCAAGCGACGCTGCTGGCTCCCACAACGTGTCAAGCGACGCTGCTGGCTCCCCTTTTAAATAAAGAAATGAACTTTGAATTTCTGTTTCCTGAGTAGAATTATTCATATTTAGCCAGATGGGGTGTCTTATCATAGAATAGGCCAATGTTGAGGGAACCCATTAGACATTGGGTCCAATAGATCTAAACTGAAATGGAGATGAGGCCTTAAGGGCCTCATCCATGAACACCTCCATTCTCAAGTTGATCTTTTCTATTTTTAACGTCAGTTTAATCACCCACGGTTTAACAATACCATAAAGAAAGCTTTGGACCTTCAAGTTTGACAGGCCTGAATTACAGGGTCCTACAACTTTATTTCAACACACCAGAATCAAATGTTCAGAGCTCAACTTTCATCATTCAGAAGTGTAAAAGCTGCAGAACACCAGACCTCAAGGACAGTTTCCCTACTCTGGATCACAGAGCACAGGTATTGGACTCTTAATAGGTGAATTTATACAAATTAGACAAGACTATACAGAATCAAATCGGTTTCTTTGCTAATATCTGAACATGGCCAATATTTTTTTAGCTAGATTGTCTACATAGTCTGGCTTGTCTTTGCTGTATATACAGGTCCTTCTCAAAAGATTAGCATATTGTGATGTTTTCCATAATAAAACTTGAACATTCATATTTTAGATTCATTGCACACTAACTGAAATATTTCAGGTATTTTAATGTCTTGATATGGATTATTTTGGCATACAGCTCATGAAAACCCAAAATTCCTATCTCACAAAATTAGCATATGAAATAGGTCTCTAAAAGAGCTATGCACCTAATCATCTGAATCAACAAATTAAATTGTTAGAAATATTTTATACTGTGTTTCATGGGTTGTGTTCCCCAAATTCCCCAAAAATAATAGAACTTAAGGATAAAATAACTAAAGAGTGCAAGGGAGGTAAAATAATTTAAAAGGATGGGTTCAGGAAAGGGTAAAGAGATCATAAAGGGGATGAAAAGTTTTTGTCAGATTGATCCAAGTAATTTATACTTGCAGAAGTGGAAGGAAAAGTATGAAATAGATGGTGAGTGGAAGGTAGATTGGAGAAATGTTGTGTGCCTGCTAGAAACAAGCACTAGTGCAAAAATATATAAATAAATAGATAAATAAATACATAGATAAATAGTTAAATGAGCTCCAAATAGCGAGTTGTTTATATAATACAGGCACAAAGTAGATACAAGGTTATTATAAAAAATTTAATAAATAGATTTCATGTTATGTTTGTGGGTATTTTAAGTTGTGCGTGAGTCCAGAAGGTAATGAAATCCCTTGTAGATGGAGACAGCTTGAATCTGCAGCATCGGGGGGGGGGGGGGGGCAGAGCCTGCTTGGTCTCCAACAATACTAGGTTATAAACAAAAGAAAAGAACCCGTCAGAAAACGACTTTAGTCAAGCGAACTATGGTAGCGACTGAAAAACATCAATCACCGCCATGTAATTATTCAACCCCCCAGGCAAATTGCCCAATTTGTATCCAGAGTTGGATGACCTTAGTAAATCAGATCTTCCTTTATCTACAGACCAGACGCAGCCTAGAAGTTTTCCACAGGAGGGCGGATTATAGATATTTAGGGTCCATAAAATAAAAAAAGGAATATAGATTTTACAGTGGTATGCCCTACATAGATGAAACACAATATCAGCAGCAACTAAAAAATATGTTAATGGGAGATGTCCAGCCTCATATCTCAGCGTGGGATAAAAAATAAAAATAAATAAATAATTACTCAAACTGGCAACGTCTAATGTAACCACAGCAATGCCAAAAAAAAGCTAAAAAGGGAGGTGGTGCATTAATATTATGGGCCTATTCTATATGTAACCCAAGAGAAATATTTCCTTTCCAAGCCACCGGACCCTTCAAAGGCATCAAAGAGGCAGGGGCGGTCTGAGGGGCCGAGGGGGCTTTCAGCCCAGACCAGTAAACACAGATGAGGGAAACTGGAAGTGTGGGTCACCAGAACATTGGGTTAGAGAGTGTTCCAATCAGATTTGGGAAGAGGCTGCAGGGGCGGCTAGAGCAAATCCAGAGCCTTCTAAAACAGTGGAGCATGGGAGCTGTTGAATGCATAAAAAAACAATAAAAAAAACATAAATAGTACTTACTGTCATGATGGGTTCACTGATGAGACCCAGTTATGCAGAACACCACGGAGACGGAAACAAGAGTAAAAAGTTTAACAATGTTTATTGTTCACAAGCACATGGAATATAGTCTGGAACTGGTTCAGGCCTGGGGACTGGTTCACTGGAGTCTGTGTAGATAACAGAGCAGTTAGCTTTGAGAGCAATGGGGTTTGGTTTTGTGATGTTCAGATTTATACCTTGAGGGTTCCGGTTTGAGCTCAGAGAGAGGAGCTGTTGGGTCCAGAGAAGGTTTGTTTCGGCAGAGTCCAATAACTGCTTCAGCGTCTTACTTCTGATGAGGGTGCAGACCTTGGCTTTGGGTTTCCAGCTCTTAGTCCAGAGCTGCATGGGAAATCCAGAGAAGAGTCTTCGGGTTTGGCTCAGAGGGCAGGCTCGGCAGTCTAAGCTTATCCAGAGCTCACAGAGAAAACTGGTTTCCTGGAAACAGAGACACAAAAGGATTAGAATCCTAGCAGGACTCAGAGGGCAATAAAAGATTCTCAGAAGGTTCTTTGGCTGAGGTGCTAACCAACTAGATTCAACACTGCGGCGTCGAGGCAAGGTCTGAAGTAGTGATGGGTCGGGCAACACCGATGCGTCGGCGCATGTGTCGGTCTCATAGAGCGAAACCTGTGTCGACGTGTGTATCGCTACGGGAAAGTCACGTGACCGAAACAGTTTCTGTATCGGTCACGTGACCGCTGTTTCGAACTGATTGACAAGCCTTTATAAGGAAGCGCATCTGCCAACGAGATGCATCTGCCAAAACAATCTTGCGTGTTTTGCGAATATAAAATTCATCAAAAATTATGGAGCTTCCTCAAACAAAAAGAAAGGTTTCTGCCGTGTGCTTTGATGTCATTTCGGAAAATAAGGTATTTGTTTTAATTTCCTTGTTTCATCCTGTTCCTCTCAGAGTTTCCACTTAATTTTCTGAGTAGAAATTCATTTCAAAGTGACCTTTAGTTTACTGTTCGTGTTATTTTCTGCAGGTTAAACGTCGCAATTGCTCAACAGAGCTTGCATATTGAAATAACAGCACCTCCTCAATGCTGAGGCATTATAGGGCCAAGCATGAGAGTGAAATCCATGATACACCCATGATGAACTCAGGTATACAGGTATTTTACAACTTACTGACTTTGTTTTATTGATAATTCTGAATAATTTACACTTTCTCATTTTACACCATCAAGCTTCCAGGAAGCAGATGCTTGATGAGGCTGTGCTTAATTTCATTGTAAAGGACTGCCAGCCCCTCGCTGTTGTGGAGAATGAAGGGTTCAGGGAGCTGGTTCAGCTCCTTGAGCCCTCATATGTTTTGCCAACCAAAAAGGTTTGTGTGGAAATTATCTAAAGTGGTAGTTTATTCATCAAATTTATTTTAAATATACTGATTTTCTTCTGGTTTGACTTGGTGTGGTTTTCAGACCATCAAACAACTGTTGGCCAAAAAGTACGAGGAGGAACGGGAACGAGTGAAAATGGAAGTACAGCAGACTGCGGACAGAATGTGCCTCAATAGTTGGAAGCTCAAATGAGCCCCAGCCGGGAACATCTTCACAACAGCTGTCTGCCCCCACTTCAGGCATGATATTGAGCATCATTTTTTGTTGTTTTTAAATCATGTACTAAAATACTATTTTATTTATTTTTTTAAGATGACCTTTGGGAACATTTTGATCTCGAAGTGGGGAGGCAGACCAAAAGTGCCACAGCTGATGCCATCCTTGAGGTGCAGAGATACATGGCAGAGGGCAATATTGCGAGGTCCCAGGATCCACTTGTATATTGGAAAAACCAAAGGACGGTTTATCCAAACCTCTTCCGCCTGGCCATAAAATTTTTGTGCACTCCAGCTTCATCTGTGCCGTGTGAGCGGGTGTTTTCCACAGCTGGAGAACTAATATCAAAAAAGCGCAACAGACTGAATTTCAAAACGCTGCAACAACTTTTTTTTTTTTGAATAAAAATTTGTAAAAAAAATACCAGTGAACAAGCATCTTCATTTACTACATGTTTACTTAGAGATTATTACATTATGATGCAGGTTCTCATTATTCATTGACTGTGTCTAAAATATCAAATATGTTTTAATAATAATACAATGCATCATACAATGAATTGCATCATATTAGTGTATATAATAGGTCATCAAATCAGTGTCAGTTAACTCTGTCAGCTAGGTTCCCTGTAGGGATTTTTAATGTCCAGCAGGTGTCAGTATTCAGTGACACAGTATCGACACTGTATCAATACAGTTTGGTAATGTGTCGAAACGTTTCATGACGCCTCATCAACCCATCACTAGTCTGAAGACAGCTTTTATACTGTGGATCCTCTGATGATGGAACGAGCCACAGGTGCGTTGAAGGCTCGGCTCAGGAGGACAAGGTACTTCTCCAGCTCCCAACACTTACAATCAATGGACAGGCAGTTACACTTATTTGTGATTCAGGAGCCTGTATTACTTATATTGAAGATAATGTAAATGCTAAAAGCATCTAAAATGCCACTTTTTGTAAAATCAGCAAATGGTCGAACATCAAAGGAATGAATGTCAAGGGCAATAGAAATAGAAGACCTTAAAACAGGAAAAAGGTTGCAAGGTTGCATGCTTCTGTAGTAATATCACCAACTCACCCCATTAATCTGTTAAAGTGAGACTTGATGGAAAATTAGGCATTGCAATTTTCCTCACGCTGGGGGGAATGTAGACTGTACGAATAGAACATGTAATGGCGTTGCAACTAAATCCTCCAGTGTTTTATGCAACATGTTTATCATCTTTGCTCCATGTCCATCTGTTCCAACTATTGAAACACCCTTATAAAATTCTGTTCTTTGTAAAACCCCGGGTCCAAGATTTAGCATGTGTTAAAAAAAAAACTCAACATTCTTTGCTATCACAATCTGATGAAAATGATTTAAAAGATATCCCAAATGTTTTGTGGTCTACAGGACAAATTGATGTAGGACTGCTGACAATTGTAGATCCATTTAAAATAGTTCCTAAATCGCAATACAGGCCACGGATAAAACAATATCTGCTAAAATGTGAAGCAAAGGAAAGTATAAAACCAGTTAAAAAAAAAAAATTAGGGGTGCAGAAACAAGTCTGTTGCTTGGGCCATGCTATGTCTCAACAGGAGGGATGGCAACTTTAAAATAGCAACATTTTACAACATATGGATTTAATTCTTATGCAGAAATTTTTTTGTAAAGCCTTTACAGTTTGTGTTAGACATAGTCCTCAAGGTAATATAAGACCAAAACGAGGACATTTTCCAGAACCAGATGGAGTTTCTTTAAGTGATGCATATAGATTTTATTGAACTAACAAGAAGTGGCCCTTACAAATACTGTTTAATGATTGATGTATTTTCAAAATGGGTTGAAATAGTCCCAGCAAAGCACGCAGATGCACTGACAGTAGCTAAAGCTTTATGCAAAGTTGGAATCCCACAAAAAATTTACAGTGACAATGGTCCGCATTTTGTTATTCAGCAAATGGCAGGCAGGTTACAAATAACTTTAAAGAATAACTGCGCTTATCTTCCACAAAGTGCAGGACTTGTGGAAATAACAAATGGGACAGTTTAATCCAGGCTTAAAAAGTGTATAAAAGAAACAAAAAGGGCCATGACCAGAATGCCATGACATGGTAACACTGTCCATGAAAATAACTCCGACCAGTGGTTTGACTCTGTTTGAAATAATACATGGCAGACTATACAAATTACAACACAATTGGGGTGGGTGAGGTTCACAATAGAAATGGCACCTAAGGAGGAAGAAAAGACACTAGTAGATCACATCGTAGAGAAATGTTGCAGTCTAAAGAAGTGTCCAAAGCAAATTCACTGCGGTAAAGTTCTTTATCTCCACAGGATCCACAAGCAGTGAGACCAGGGACTGGACTGGGTGTTCATCAGTCATCAGAGGGAAGAACTGGACGAGTCCAAGGTGGAAATGACCACTCCAAGTGCTACTGACCATGCCAACAGGTGTGAAGATTGCTGAAAGACCATCTTGGATTCACCTCAGCCACTGTAAGTTACAGAGAGTGTCAAACACCTAAGGTTGGAACAGCGGGGAAGTCCAACTACAAAGGGGTTTGGTTTTTTTAGGGCCACTTGTCTCAAAGTCGGTGAAGAAATCAACTGATCCCTGTTCTTTAGAGTCCTGGGTGAAATGAACATCTATGCTAACCTAGCTAAAATGGGGTTCCCATGGAGATGGGGCTTCTTTAAAGTTGTGGCTGTTGTGTACAATATCTGTTTCAGTCCAGAGGTGTTCCTGATTAATATAAACTAGTAGACCAAGTCGCTGCAGGATTTGAATCAACAATTTCCTGGTGGTGTACAATTAATAAAAATGTGGATAGAATTAATCATATACATTACAATGTCCAGAAATTAGGTAACTGGTTCAAAGTGGTTTTAAAGCTGTACATGGGCAATTAGCTGCAACTTCACTCATGCCTTTCCAAAACAGAATAGCTTTAGATATGTTATTAGCTGAAAAAGGCAGAGTCTGTGCTATCCTTGGCGAGCAAAGCTGCACCTTCATCCCTAACAACACGGCTTCAGATGGCAGCCTAACTAAAGCCCTGGAGGTCATTAGGTCACTGAATGGTAAAATGAAAGAGCACTCCGGTGTGGACACATCCATGTGGGACTCGTGGTTGGACGCCTTTGGCAAATACCGCACCCTGGTGTCCTCTCTACTGGTGTCCATAGCTGTGTTTGCCGCCATCTTGACCCTCTGTGGTTGCTGTCTGATTCCCTGCATTCAAGGTCTCATTTAGAGACTGATCTCTACTGCTATCTCCTTTCCACAGCAGCAGTTTCAGATGTATCCGCTCTTCGCCCAAACAGATTCCCCAGATGAAGATGACCAGAATGTGGCACAGTTTTATTCCCGCCATGAGTGAACTTGTAGCTCCTCCATGTGTAAGTGAATGTATCTACATTATAGTATGAGCTGATGGTCGAAAATCGTCTTTGAAGTAACTTGTTGGTGAAGTTTGATAACGTTTTGCTATATTCACATTATACACCATAAACAGGAGGGAAATGTTAGAAATATTTTATTTATACTCCGTTTGTGTTTCATGGGTTGTGTTTCAAAGATTTATTATGATGCATAATGTGTGATTCATCTTTTATTAACTCTTGCTTAAGATTGTTCCAGATAAAGGTCATGCAACGGGTGGGTTGTGAAAGAGGCCTGAACATCCTCTTTCACATGCTGGGTTGTAAAAGAGACCTGAACATCCTCTATCACATTTCTTCTAAACATGTGTTTTTTGAACAATTCAATTGTAAAACAACCACATGCTTTGTTTTAACATATGTGCTGAGGTTTAAAGTAAGATCCTTTTGTTTCCCTGTATGTATGTATGATGTTTTAGGTGCTTAGACCTGACATAACTCTAATCACATGCAAAAGATTTGTGAGGCCTTTAAAACTCCCAGCCTGGTTCATCCCTCAAAACCATCGGTGTCAAAAGTTCACACGTTTGTCACTTAAGTAGAAGTATAGATCCTGCAGTTTAAAAACACTCTGGTAAAAGTTGAAGTATCAACTTGACCTAATTTACTCAAGTAAAAGTGAAAAAGTATGTGCTCCAAAAATTACTAAAAGCATAAAATAACCTTTAAAAAGACAGCCAGATGCCACTATATGAATATTAAAGCTCAATTTTTGGACTATTTCTAAAAATTCTGTGAGATAGGGCCAAGGATGAGGGAGGTCTTGTTGGTCTCCGTCTCCCGATACGCTCTCGCCTGTGTCCGACCTTTCAGACATTTCAACATCTTTTTCTGAATCCCACATTGTAGCATGGCATAGACAATTCACGTTAGCAGTTTGAAGAACACCTGCTTGCTTCTGATGATTTCCTTTAGCTAACCAATGAGTGTTTGCTTTATTTGACTCATCCAATCACACTAGTTTTCACTAGATGTGGGCGGAGCCAATGATCTGCATTGGATGGAGCATATGATGGGAAATAAATATTTATAAACATTAAACCAGGGGTAACCAATTAAATAACAGCGGGGTTCGAATAAAGAAAAATCGTCAACCAGTAAAGTTCCGGAGAAATTTTTAATGATCTGTTACTTCAAACAGAATTTAACACTGAAATAAAATGAGGTGTTTATAAAATAAAAATAAAATAAAATAAAAAAAAAACAGAACATTTTAAAATCTAAAGTTTTTTTTTGAAGCAGAGAACAACAATCGTTCAGTTTGGTTTATAGACAATTTCTTGATTCCCATATTTTCTCAAACCCCTGAACTGATCGTTTGTTATTTTCTTTCTTTTTTCTGTCTTAATGTTGGCAGTGGGCTTTAGGCTGCCCTGCAAGGCTTTAAACCTGGGTTTAACCGGAGACTAAGCCATTCTCAAGCACATATCAAGGTGCTCATTTTGAGCCTGGATCCAGATTTATTGTTGATTCTGTTCATGGTGGAGAATCCTGCTTCACAGCAGCAGGTTGAGCCAAACATCCTCTAAATGTTCAGGCTCCGCTCCGGTCCGGCCAGGTCAAGATCCGCTATAGCAATCGCACCAAACAGGAAAAAAAGAGCGGCGAGAAGATCCGGTGTAGGTACCAGATTGACTCGGGCTGCCAGATTGACTCGGGGGCCTGCGCCTTTTGATGACGTCACAATACATAATTGTTTTAACGTTTGCACAATTGCGCAAAACATTTTGATTGGTCTGGACAGCTTACTAAAGTAATTATAGCGGGGTGTAGGTTTTATTCGAAAGCGGGATTGCTGTTTGTAAACGGACAATTTTACGAAGACATTCTCCATGGTCCCTGCGCCTTCTGATGACGTCACCGAATTCGCCATGGGCCTTGCGCCTCCCGATGACGTGACATTATGGCAATGCCACTCAAACAAACTACATTGAGCCCGCGGTCTGCATTTGTAACGAGAATAAATTCAGGAGAATGAAGCTAAAGGGATACAAAAAATAAACTTGTAATATTACAAAACCAAAAATACTACGAATACAAAGTATATTCAGAGATTAAAGTCCCTCTGATACTGTTTAAGTGACTGAGAAACTGCAGATTTGCCACATTTAAGATGGCGGACGCTCTGACCTATCTCAAAAGGCGCAGGCCCCCGAGTCAATCTGGCAGCCCGAGTCAATCTGGTACCTACACCGGTTTGTCAAATTGAAATATAGTAACAACAGATGGGTAACTACAAATTAGAGCATAATTCTTCTTTATTTAAAAAAAACTAACACCGTTTATTTAAAAGATTATATGCAAACTATTGGTTCTTTAACAGACCAGGAAGCAGATTTCTCATCTTCATCAGAAACCGCACATCTGCCGGATGCTGAGGATTTTTTAAATATATCATATGAAATTAAGCGTTTATTTCTGCATGTTTAATCACCCATGCTTTCCTCGTGCTCCGAGGATAAGTCGGAGAGCAGCAATACGGGAGGAACAGCGGAGGCTGTAGGCTTTGCTTTGCGCAGGAGGTCTGGAGCGCTGCGGGCGGAGCATGTGGGATTTCAGGGTAACAGGAGAAGCAGCGCAAGTGATGTTTAGACACTGTTGTCAGACAATATGTGGTAATTTATAAATGTTTTAAATCAGGTTGGGTCCGGATTAGCAAGCAGGTGGGTCCGGATCCGGACCGCGGTCCGCTAATCCGTGACCTCAGAATTAAACCGAAGCCAAGAGTGATGATCACATAAGAGCAAACTGCCTCTATGGATCATCACAACCTTACAGCAGATTTCAATCCTCAACAATCTGGGTGTAGATGACAGCAGTAAAGACGCTTCGGTCTGAGCTGTGGACTGTTTTCTTCTTCTTTGGTTTCTTTAATGTTGGATGGTCTCCCAGGGCAGCAAAACACACATTTCTCCCCTAAAATGAAACATTTGATGTAGAATGAATTTCAATAGAATTTCATTTCATCCACTTCCTCCACTGAGCCAGGAGGAGCGAGTGCTTCAAGAGCTGGAGGCAGTAGTAGCAGCTCAACAACAACTGCTGCTTACCTTAACGTCATACACACTCCGCTTTGTTTGAAATATATATAAATATAAAATGTATAACGGCAGATGTCTGGGGGACAGTGATTCACCTCCATGTTCTGAATGCTGGCGTACCATAAAGAATAAATGATGAACAGTTTAGTTTGTGCCTTCAAGTCGTTGCCCATAGGAAGACGTTACTTGAATATAACGGAATATCTTCAGAGCGGCTCCAAATGACACTAAACTCATTTCGTGAGTAGAACATGATGGAATAACGTAAAATCAGGGACCCAATGTAAAAAAAAAGGTGTTCCCCTTTAAATTGTCTAGACAGCTGTTCTAAACAAAATTTCTTTTTATTTACACTTGTGTATACAAAATGACAAAATAAATCCATCGAAGTCTAAGAATGATGGCAGTTCTGCTAAGGAATGCAATGTGTGTGAAAAATCTGCAATCGATTATTTAGAAAACTATAACTATACTTCAAAGGTTGCATGAAGCGAATTTATTGTTTGTCTAAAAATCTGTTCATAGAAAACTGATAAATGAGTTTCAGTTGGTTACCTCTGTTTTTCCTGCTGGTCTCATAGAGTCAGATTTGTTTTCCTTATCATCAGGTGTTTCTGCAGCGGGAATTAAAATAAGAGTCAAGGAATCAAAGTACTGTAATAGAAATGTAGGTTTGGAAGGATGTATATTCAGTCAGTACCTGGTTTCCAGCAAAAGAAGGAACCAAGAAGTGAGGAAAGAAAAGTGGAAAGAAAACAAACAGCAGGACAGACAGAGAACAGCAGCTTCCAGCACAAACCACACTCCTCCACTGGTCTCCACTGGTCTAAAAAAAGAAAACAATTCAATTCAATTATTTATATTAATTATTTCTTAATCACCTCCTGATTCTGTGGATGTCATTAGCTGATCTCTACCAATACTGACAATTTGCATCATTTATTAATCATAATATCAACAGGAATGATTATTGAAATGTATAAGTATTTTTCTCAAACCCAAAACCCTATTTTATATATGCATGCAGTACATTTGGAAGTTTTTATTTATTTATTGTGACTGTTTCAAACATTGTTTAATTTTCTATTTTATTTTATTTTATTGTGAGATCTCTACTGAAAAAGAGATATTGTTAATATTAATGGTTATTTTGCAGAGTCAATAAATATCAAATGACAAAGTAATTAAAAATACATTCATCAGGTTGACCAAAGCTTGAGAAGTTTCTTGTAGTGTTTTTATTTTTAATATTCCAAATAAATCATTAGATGAATCCACTCATTAACATCTTGATGTTTCATCTTTCTCTGATTCAGCTCCACATTAATGTTAAAACACTTTGGTCCAACTTTTGAAAAATAATTATTCTTCTAGAAGCTCTGTGATCAAATGAGAAAGGAGAACTTACAGAGTGTGATCCTTGTGCTGATGTTTCCATAGATGTAGACATTTTTCTCCACCTTTTGTTCAATTGTTCCACAGTAATAAAGTCCTTCATCAGAATCAGTGACGTTTATGATCAGCAGGTCATACGAGTCGGACGACTGATTCTTTAAAAATTTAAAACGGGGATATAAGTTTTCCCTTTCCGAAAAGCTTTTATGTGTCTCCATCACAAGAGTGGGTTGGTGTTGATGGGAGCAGTTTCTAAACCAGACTATATATACTACAGTGGACGGCCTGCAGTCACAATAGAGGGTGATGTTGTCTCCAGGTCGAACAATCGTCTCCAGCATTGAAGCAGAAATGGAGCAGAGATTCCAGGAAAAAAGTCCTGAAACAGAAAGACGTTGAAGAAAGAACATGAATATTGTTCCAGGATTAAAGCTCCGACATTCAGGAGATCTAAACTTTAAATATAGCCAACTTTAGTTTTATCCATATCATGGTCGTAATTATTTATATGTTCGTAAATCTAAAAATTACCAAAGAGAACAACCAGAATCATCTGCCTTTCATCCATGGCGACATTGATCTGCATCTAAGTGACAGTTTCACAGGTTTCATACGGTGAAGATATGATGCAGATTCTTTCATTAAAGGAGATGTAGAAGCTGATTGGCTGCTGGAATGGAACATTTTATTCTGAGGTTTTTTTGGGCGGGCTTAAATTCATGATGGTCATGTTTGAGGTTTTGAGGACCTGAATGCAGAGACCAGGTGGCAGAGGTGAGACTTGCAGATTTAAAGGGGTCATAAAATGCAAAACCCAGTTTCCATTGTCATAGATGAATAACGATAGTTCAGTGGGTGAAATGGACGTACAGAGAAGTTCAAACCCCTTCAACACCTCATTTCTCTGCAAATCTCACAGTTCTAAACTTCCACTATAACACGTGTGAATTAAAAGAAAGCCCGGAGTTGACGTAAACTCTGGGATGTTACCTTATGTGGTTCTGGTCTGTACTTTTGTCACGCCCCGAAATTGACATACAAACCAGGCCAATGGTTCACTAACCTAAATGCAGTTTTTCAGGCTGCACAGAGAAAGGGGAACATTTTCACAGTCTTCCCAAGGATCCAAAGACTCCACAGGCATGGATACCCGATTAAACCCCCCTCCAGCCCCTCCTCCACCATCACAGCTAACACTTCATCAGAGCGTCATTCCTCCTGTCTCATCTCAACCAGTCAGGTTGAAGACCACCATGATGAGCCTGGTTCTCCCAGAGGTTTCTTCCCAACAGGGAGTTTTTTCTCCCCACTGTTGCTTTGTGCTTGCTCATCATGGACAGGTTTCTGCAACCTGTGTTATCCAAGCTGGCCTTCCATCTTCCAGGTCCCTGATGAAGCTCTAGTATCAGCTCATACAGTCCACTGGATCTCTCCAAACAGCTACAGCAGACCGTCTCTCCAACCAGCAGTCTACAGACTGACCAACTTCATCTATCTCCACTCCACCACCAGTTTGAGACCTGGGGGGAAACAGCCCTGTTCTTTACTCCTGTTCATGCATATCAAACAAAATTCAGCGCTAATGTTTCCTGCTGAGGTCTGAGCGCCTTCTGATAGAAAAAAAATCTTTTAATTGTCTTTTTCTTTCTGTGAGTTTTCCAGATTGAACTGCAGTCCAGCATTAGTCTTCACAAACACCACAGCCTTCTCTCTTTGTCAGCTTGGCCAACTTAGATCAGAAATCATAAATGTAATTATTTTCTTAGGATCAAAAAGGCCAGAGTGGCAGTACAGGAGACAGTCTGATTTAAAAAGAAGCAGCAGTGTTGTAGTAAATCTGCTTTTAGGCATTTATCTTGTATTCACTCATTGGCTGGAACACGTAGCTTTGTGAAACCATGATAGAAATAGTTATCAGATGTACAGAAACAGAAAAACTGTTTAGCAAAGTCCTGTGGTCTCTGCACTGCTCTGTTATAACTCAGACTTTTCATGTTAGTATTTCATTTAAAAGTTATCTCAGTTAAAGAGAACTTTACCAGAAAAGCTGAACTGGTGAAACCTGAATTATTGGTTTGGTTAATCTTTTATTTTCTCCCATTTCATTTGTCTATAATAAAAACATTATAAAAATACAGTTGGTATAAAAATATTGTTTCTACAATTTCTATTGTATTGTAGAAAAAAATGTTTTAAAATCCCCCAAATGATCAATCTAACATCTGACTGGGCTGCAGCCAGTCTGTCCTAATCTGTTTCTCTCTAAAATAGTTGATGATGAACTGCGGTCAGTAAGTTCGTGTTTATCTGCAGATTCAGTTTCTATGCAGAATCACCTCTGCAGATGCATGAGGGGCCGCTTGTTATTGTGGGTTTCCTACATTTAGCAATGCAATAGTTTACAGAAATCCTGAACGTGGTAACAGGTTTTTAAAACTAGGGGTCATTTGGAAGCAAAGGTTTCGATTAATAAAAATACATTTTTGATAAACCAATGAAAGAAAAGAATGTTTTTCAGCACATCTGCTTCTCTTTCATTACAGTAGAGCAGCTTTTAGATAAAGAAACTGATTTCCAGGTATCTCTATTTTCACAGCTTTATCTGTGCTAATCACATTTCTACACTGATAGAAGTATAGAAAAACATTTAGGTAAAAAGAACAGTTTTAGGTGAGTAAACTTCTTAAATAACCTGCATTTGATTTGGCCTGAAATAAAAATTTCCCCCCAACATGTAGTAAGTTGTGATTCAGATGAAAATGAACCTGATAAGTTTAGAGTTAGTAAGTTTAGTAAGTTCAGATGAGTACCAATTACCTTGCTAGCTCCAGTTAAGCTTAAATGTCTTCCTTGAAAGATTTGGTGAATACAAAGGTTCTTCTTTACAGTGAACTGTTTTGATCAATGATTAGTGGTTTTAGGATTTAGTGCACTGGTTAATATTTTGAGAGAGTTTTGATAATTGTCAGTCTTTCACTTCTCTGTTCTTGTACTATGGCTGTAAAAACTACAATGCATCCTGCTGGGTTCGGCTTACTTGATCTTTGCTGGGCTGGATTGTCAAGGGTACCCTGAAACGAATACTGTAAACCTCACTCCAAGTGTCGACCATTAACCCCCCCCCCAAGTTGACCTCTATGCCCAAACCAGTAGGAAGGATCAGAGCCACCTTTTGTTCCCCCTAATTGTCATGATCTTGGCACTGATGGCTGGATTTGGCTCATCTCTTCCACCTGTTTAGCTCCGCCCAGCGCTCATTGTAACTCATCAGATCCACCTGTTCCTGTGTCTTATTTAAGCTGCCTGTTCCCAGCCATCAGTACCACATTATTTGATCTGTCTGTTCTCTGTCAGTTCTCTAGCGTATGAGTGTGTTTCTGATTATCTGATCCTGACCAGTTTCTGCTTAATTCCTGAGCTTTGGTTGCCCCTTATGAGTGTCCCTGCTTCAACCTCCTTACAGCCCCTTTGATGAGTTGACTATTCTTCTCTCTTGTGGGCCAAAGTCCATCTTGTGTGTCTTCAGGACAGCCAGACCCTATGCTGAGTTTTTCTCCTGCAGCTGTTTCTCTAGTGCTGCTACCTTTGTACTCTTTCTTTTTAACCCTTTGTGCACATCTTTGGCTTGGTTGACAAGGTCAGGCAGCTCTGTGCTGAGTTTCTGGTTTTGCAAGGCTCTCTGGGCCATCAGTGAGGAGGCCTCCTCCTGGGCTTTGCTCAGGCACAACTGAAGTTGCTCTTTCAGGCTCCTGCGTTTTAGCCACTCCGACTCCTTCAACTGCAGAACCCAAGGATCTGATTCAGATCATAAACTCATCCCTCATGACGGGTGTTTTCCCCAGAGCCGTACAAACCGCAATTATCAAACAATTGTTGAAAAAGAGGAGGTTGGACAAATTAGTCCTCCAGAACTACAGGCCCATCTCTATCCTTCCCTTCATCAGTAAGATTATTGAAAACAGTTAAATACCTCCTTAATAATGACCAGCTCCTTACATGGTCAGGTTTCCATAGCAACCACAATACAGAGACGCCGTGATTAAGGTGTTCAATGACATCCGTATAAAATCAGACTCTGGAATAGTGCTGGTATTATTAGACATCTGTGCAATTAATGAATTTTTAAAGATAATATGAAGTGTTTTTTTTCTCAAATTAACAGTTTTCTTTCTCTTTTATTCTTTAATCATTAAAAATAAAAAAAAAATGTAATACATATTTGAATCTCAACATAAAACTGTCACGATTTGGTGTTGGATTGAGGACCCAAAAGTAGAGGCAGGTAGGCAGAGGTGAATTTAGGTGGGTTTAATGAGGTTCACAGGTACAGAGGCAGGAATCAAAAAATCCAACAAAAAATAACAAACAAACCAGAACCAAGGAGACATCAGGGGAAACCAAACTCTAGGAGCCAGGGAGAGACGAGGTAAGGAGACAGATGTTAGACAAGGATCCAGCAAACAGGAACTGAAGAGGGAGGCTTTTAAAGGGGACAGAGACAAAGAGAGGGCTAACGAGAGGATTGGAAACAGGTGAGGACAGAGCAGAAAAAAGAGCTAGGGATAGAGGACACAAGGGGGCAGCAGAGGACAACAAATGGAAAACCTGGAAGACAGGAACTAACAAGAAAACAACAAAATAATAATTAAACACTAAAACAAGGAGCAAAGTAAAACTGAATACTCTAAATAAACATAACAAAACCAAGACTGTGACAAAAACTTTACAGTAAAGCCTTAGGAAATGCTGAACTTTTTTCTCAAAATAAATAATTTTATATCGTATTAATCATCAAACTAAATCTTTAAAGAGTTGCTAAAAATCTGGTTTCTTTTGCCACACAATAAGGTCAGTAACAGAAAAGAGCTGAACAAACCCTGATCCAACAATTTGGTTTCAAACTAAAAAGATGTAGCCTGCTGAAGATCTAACAACTGCTCACACTTTAAGAAATTTACTAAACATCTAAGAAGTAGGGTTTTCAGATCAGCTAAAAGCTGAAATCTAAGAATATTTCTAAAATCCTGTCCTTGTTGATGTTCCCCCACCTGATGACTTTAATGACTGTTTGAGTCTCAAACAAGGGCGTAGGTTTGATTTGAACTTTGGTAGGGACACTATTGGTCGGGTGTCATTGGTGCTATGCAATATTCATGCCCTTATTTAAGCTCGATGTAAGCATCCGTACTAAGAGGAATTCATTGTTAAAAGAGAGAAGCATCCTTTTGCTACATTAATAAAAAATGTATAAGCACTACACTCATTAGATGCTGTTTATCAATGTTTGAAGTATCACCGGCTCTGATGAATGTGGAATTAGGACTGTTTTCCACTGTGAAAATCTTTTCATTTGAACGACTAAGAGAGAAGGTAAATACAGGATTTTCCTTTGAAGATATAGAATTGTGCAGAGTTAAACCCCACTCTTATATTTTACCTACTATGCTCTCTCTGTATCAAGCAAAATAATACATTCATTAAAATATTAACTTCACTATAAAAGTTGAACATCTGGGCTGTAGATACTCTGCATAGCCCCTTTCATGTATTTTATCTGGGGCTGAAAAAAAATTAATAGTATTAATTGATTATTTCAATAATCGTTAACTAATTTAGTATGTAATTTATCATTAACTGGAGTATGGAGACTTTAAAACATACAGTAATATAAATGTAAAATGTGCCTTTCCCCGACAGAGCAACCCACTTAGATTGTAAGAATACAATATATATATATATATATATATATATATATATGCAGTGTGTGTGTGTGTGTGTATATATATATATATATATATATATATATATATATATATATATATATATATATATATATATATATATATATATATATATATATATATATGAGATTTAAAAAAATATAAATATAAAATCACTTTTAACAATTATAAAAGACAATATAACACTATTTTATTTGGAATTTAATAATATCCAAAATAAGATTCAAGCATTTTTACCAGACATTAATGTTTGTACTAATTTACTTATAGAATGTGTGGAAATCTAAGTAAGATAAAATCAATATTAATATTCTTCCTCTGATATTCTTCCTTACTATTATTATGTTTAACCCTAATTATGCTTTTTAAACCAAAAATAGCAGATGTATAGGCGCCATTTCTTTTTGTTAAACTGTATAAGAGAAATAACACCTGCTAATAATTATACCTGAACTTCATCAAAGAGTCATCAAAAAATGAAAACAGTAATAGCAACTAGATATAGGCAAAAAGGAAACCCTCACATTTTCTTTTTTAATTGGCTGTGGCTAAGAATCAGATATGTTGATGGCTTACAGCCTTTATTTGCCCATTTTTCCAGCAGTTTTCAGAACTCCTGGCTGACTCAGAATATTTCGTTTTATAAAATAAAACAAAAGGTTTTTGTTTTTTAGTGTACATGATATTCCTTTTTTTTAAATTGGGACTTGTTTTGTAGCCTAATATTAATTGTACTAACCGCGGCATTCTAGTGTGAATAAATGTTAAATTTTGTGCTCCAAGAACACGCAGACTAGAAAACAGCCAATCAGAGAGAGAGAAGGCGGAACTTAAGCCAGAACAACCAATGAGAGTGGAGTTAAACAGCGCAGCACAGTTCCATGCGCTGCTACATGAAAGGGACAGGAGAGACCAGGCAGAGGAGCTGCGAGAGGAAAAGAAGCCACTGCTGCAAAAACTACTGCTGTAAATTATAAACATGTGGCTCACATCCAATTATTGGTAGGGACAATTAGGTCGGTTCAAAATTTTGGTAGGGACATGTCCCTATGGTCCCTATGCAAACCTACGCCCATGGTCTCGAATATTACAGCTGGAAACTAAACCTGAAGAAACCTTTTAAATACGAGGAGAGAAGATGTCATTCAAACAGATTTCTATAAACCTTTTGGTTTTTCATTCCTTTCAATGGCCTCAAGTGAACTAAAATATTATTAGATATAAAAGATTTAAATATATGTAACAGTTTAGATTTACCTTCTACTTTTAGGTAAACAGTAGAGAGCTGGCTGTAAAAGAAAAAAATAGTCACACAGTCTGATGTTACATGATTCAAAAGTTTTACAAATTCAATTTGAGTTTAATAAATGCCAGTGAAAATGTTTGAAAATATATTTTAATGTAAAAAAAAGCAAAAAAAGATGCATGTGTAACTAGAGCTTCTGCAAAGTGAAATATAGAACCAGTATTAGAGTAGTAGGGTACGGCATGTCGGAGGTTCGCTGCTGTTTTTGACTAAGCGGTCTCAGTGAGGAGCTCAAGGCGTCTATGATGAAAGTTAGACATTTAATTTAAAACAAGCAGCAGTCTGCAAAGGTCAGTGCTGGACTGAAAAGAGCTTTACTGATGAACAGAGATGTAAATACCACCAAGACAAAGAAGAGTTACGATGAGGGTTTAAATATTTTTTCTTTAGTTTGAAAGAAAGTTAATAAAAGGAAATAAAACTCTAAGGACTCCTTTATTACTGTTTAACTTCTGTGTTAAATATGAATCTCCTCATGTCTTGATGGCAGAGTATGTACTGAAATCTGAACTTTGGATCGTCCTCTTTCTCTTCGTCCTCTGTGATGGCGGATGGATTTCCAGGGCAGCGTAACAAACATTTTCATCCTAGGAATTAATATTCAGAATCATCATCATTTTAAAAAGTTTAACAAAGAGATAATTTCTATGGAACTAAAACAAATAACTGTTCCGTTGTTTGTTACCTGAGCTCCTTCTGTTTGTCTTGAAATGTCACATCTCATTTTCAGCTTCATTGTTTGCTGCAAGTATAAAAAAAATTCAATATAACTGAATAAAAAGGTTGGTTTCACATTTCTAAATGTCAAAAATCATCTTCAGCACCTTTCTTCAGGCAAAGCAGGTAGACCAGCAGTGAGGAGAAGAGAGCTGAAAGCAGAGAAACAGCAGGACAGACAGAGAACAGCAGCTTCCAGCACAAACCGCACTCCTCCACTGGCCTGGAAATGTTCTGATGCAGGAAACCAGACCCTGCATCTAAAACGAGACACATAAAAAAACTCACTCAGAGGGTCTGCATTGGTCACATTTAATGAAAAGGGTTAGGATTATGAAAAAAATAAAACGTTATTAGTTGTGTTTTATTTTTTATTGAGCCCCAAATAAAAGTATCTAAACAGATTGTTCTAGTCTGTAGTTTTAAAACAGAGATAATTATTTCTTAATCACCTCCTGATTCTGTGGATGTCATTACCTGATCTCTACCAGTAAATACTGAGAATTTGCATCATTTATTAATTATAATATCAACAGGAATGATTATTGATCAACCAAAGAAATGTAAGATTATTTTCTCACTATTATATAAATGCATTCAGTACATTTGGAACAGTTTTTATTATTTATTTATCATTGTAACTGTTTCAAAGGTGATTTAATTTTCTATTTTATGTTTTATTTTATTTTTTGTCAGATCTCTACGGAAAAAGAGATTGTTAATCTTAATGGCTATTTTCTGGGGTCAATAAAGATCAAATGATAAAGTAATTTAAAATACATTCATCTGTTTGACCAAAGATTTAGAAGATTCTTCAAAAGTTTCCTGTACTTTTTTATTTGTAATATTCCAAATAAATCATTAGATGAATCCACTCATTGACATCTTGATGTTTCATCTTTCTCTGATTCAGCTCCACATTAATGTTAAAACACTTTGGTCCAACTCTTGTAAAATTATTATTCTTCTAGAAGCTCTGTGATCAAATGAGAAAGGAGAACTTACAGAGTATGATCCTTGTGCTGATGTTTCCATAGACGTAGACGTCTTCAAAGACAATATTTCCGTTTTCTTTTTTCTCCACCTTATTTTCAAATGTTCCACAGTAATAAAGTCCTTCATCAGAATCAGTGACGTTTATGATCAGCAGGTCAAAAGCGTCGGACGACTGATTCTTTAAAAATTTTAAACAAGGATAAAGGTTTTCATTTTTTTTTGTGTACGTCCCACCTCCAATTGTCTTCACCTCAAGAGTGGGTTGGTGTTGATGGGAGCAGTTTCTAAACCAGACTATATATACTCCAGTGGACGGCCTGCAGTCACAATAGAGGGTGATGTTGTCTCCAGGTCGAACAATCGTCTCCAGCATTGAAGCAGAAATGGAGCAGAGATTCCAGGAAAAAAGTCCTGAAACAGAAAGACGTTGAAGAAAGAACATGAATATTGTTCCAGGATTAAAGCTCCGACATTCAGGAGATCTAAACTTTAAATATAGCCAACTTTAGTTTTTATCCATATCATGGTCATAATTATTTATATGTTGGTAAATTTAAAAATTACCAAAGAGAACAACCAGAATCATCTGCCTTTCATCCATGGCGACGTTGATCTGGATCTAAGTGACAGTTTCACAGGTTTCATACGGTGAAGATATGATGAAGATTTTTCCGTTGAAGGAGATGTAGAAGCTGATTGGCTGCTGGAATGGAACATTTTATTCTGAGGTTTTTTTGGGCGGGCTTAGGTTCATTATGTGAGTTTGGTTGGTGTTTAAGATGATGCAGCTTTGAGAAAAGTAACACTGAGCTGAATGGATGAACTGATGAAAGTAATTATGGATCAAACCAAATACTTTACTTGTTAATACTTGATCGCATTAATTAAAAAAATGTTTGTTAAATATGTTAAAATTCAGTAGAAGATCAAAGACACAGGGATGTTTATCCTTCCATTTTTTTTACACGCTTAATCCCAAGTGGAGTCACGAGGGGTGCTGGTGCCTATCTCCAGCTACAGGGATTTTTAGTTAATCTTAAAATCTCCTTTAAATATTTTACATATTTTTATTTTAGTCTTTCACAGGAACATCTATGTAGGTGAAGATCAGACATGATTAATCTATCCCTGTTACAGATATATACCTCAGGGTTTTAAGGTGGCTGAAATTAAAACTTTATTTAAGAAATATTGTGTCCTGGCTCTAAGGTGGAGACGAGTTTAAAGTTCTGCAGTTCTCCTGGTACTCTGTCTTGTCTCTGTCCCTCAACCACTGAGCCTGCCTGTCTGCATCTGCGCACATCCGTCTGTGCTCGCTGCTGGACTCATGGAACTCTGAACCTGTCTTCACGCTCTGTGGCTTCCTGGAGGCCTGGATCTGTCAGTTCCTGTGCGGATCAGGACCCCTAACTGGGCTGCAGACCAACATTAAGAACTGTTCCTGTCTGATCTGTTTTCTCTGCCCTAAATCTGATTCCTTCCTGCTCACTGAGGTCACTGCATCAGGATTCGCATACTGATGAATTGTTCCACTGAGGACGCTATCTCCTCTGTTTTGCATCTTAGCCTAGCATGCAGTCAACACCATCATCCCACAGAATCTCATAGGGAAACTGGAGCAGTTGGGCTTCAACACACCCCTCTGCTATTGGCTGCTAGACTTCCTCACCAACAGACCGCAGTCAGTCCGGGTTGGACAGAACACCTCTGATGTCATCACCCTAAACATAGGCTCCCCTCAGGGCTGTCATGTTTGGTTTAAGGTTTCTAACCCACATTCAGAACACACGGACACAGGAGAAAAGGTTCAAAGGTTTATTGAAACAACACAGTGAATAAAGAACTGATCCAAGGGGTTTTCAGATCTGGGACTGGTCACGACTGGGTTAACTGCAGAGGGGGACAGAGTGGTTAGCTGAAGTCCAGGTAATTTGTAGAGAGAGTGAGTGCAGGTCTGTACTTGATCAGGAGTTTGAGCAGAGCGGCAGGGAGGGGGAACCAGGAGGGTCCAGAGGCTGTCGGCAGACAGAGGGCTTGGCGGAGGCAGAGCTTGGTTTGAGAGTTTGCAGATACAGGTTTGAGTTTCCCTTTCAGATTCTTCAGAGAGCGGGCAGGCAGGTCTTTGACAGGTTTGATTCTCCAGGGTTCTTCAGAGATCAGACTGACAGATTTCCAACAGAGAAAGAAGGTTTTTCAGGTTTCAGGTTTCAGGCAGGTTCAACCTGGGAAGCAGAGAGGACAAAACCGATTAGGTTCAGGTTTTCTGGGAGTCAGAGATTCAGACAGGTAGGTTGGCTCAGGCTTGCTAACCATAATTGGCAAAACACTCTGGCGTCGGAGTGTAGCTCTCCGCCTCCTTAAGTACTGGTCTCCTGATGAGCAAACAAGCCGCAGGTGGTGAAGTCAGCTCCAGCTCCAGGAGACCTAGAACGCCCTCTGGTGGAGAAAAGTGGACAGACCTCCAGATCCCAACAGTACCCCCCCCCTCAACGACCGCCTCCTGGCGGTCCAGAAGAAGTAGATGGCAGAGACTCACGGTATTCATCGATCAAGGCGGGGTCCAAAATGAAGGATCCAGGAACCCAAGTGCGGTCCTCCGGACCGTAGCCCTCCCAGTCGACCAGGTACTGTCAACCGCGGCCCCGGTGACGGGAGTCCACGATCCGGTAAACGGTGAAGGCAGGATGACCATCAATGTCCCGGGCGGGTGGAGGGGAGTCGGATGGAGGGCAAAGAGGGCTGGTCAGGACAGGTTTGATCTGGGAAACGTGGAATGTAGGGTGGATTCGGAGTGAAGATGGCAGATGCAGGCGGACAGTTGATTACGGATTCAATCTTGTATGGACCGATGAACCTAGGAGAGAGTTTACGGGACATGGACTTGAGGGGAATGTCTTGAGTGAAAAGCCAAACCTGTTGACCGGGTGAGTAGGTGGGAGCAGGGCGTCGTTTGCGGTCTGAGAATTTCTTGTTTTGAGCGGATGATCTGTTCAGAGCTGATATGGTGTCCTTCGAAATCTTTCGGCAGCGGCGGATGTGATGGTTGACAGATGGGACAGAGATCTCCTTTTCATCGGTAGGAAACAGGGGTGGCTGATAACCTAAGGACACTTCAAATGGAGACAGACCGGTTTCAGATGAAGTGTGTGAGTTGTGAGCGTATTCTACCCATGGAAGATATTGGCTCCAGTCTTTTGGGTTGGTGGATGTGAAACAGCGGAGGGTGGATTCCAGTTCTTGATTCATGCGCTCTGTTTGTCCGTTGGATTGTGGGTGATAACCTGAAGAGAGAGAAATCTAGGTATCTAGAGCAGAGCAGAAGTGTTTCCAGACCTGAGCAGTGAACTGAGGGCCTCTGTCGGACAGGATCTCCTGGGATGCCATGGAGTTTGAATACGTGTTTGACGAGAAGTCAAGCTGTTTGGAAGGCAGTCGGGAGCTTTCTGAGGGAAACAAGATGGCAGGCTTTAGAAAATCGGTCTATGACTGTAAAGATGGTTGTCATACCTTTGGATATTGGCAAACCGGTTACAAAATCTACAGCAATATGGGACCAGGGACGAGATGGAGCAGGTAATGGATGGAGAAGACCCGAGGGAGGCTGATGAGAGGGTTTGTTTGGGGCGCAGACAGGACAGGCTAGAACATATTCTTTACTGTCTTTGTGGAGGGATGGCCACCAGAAATGGTGACAGATCAAGGCAAGGGTTCTGCTTACACCGGGGTGAGCAGAGAATTTAACTGAGTGCATCCAGTGGATGAGACGGGACCTGACAAGAGAGGGTACGTACGTCCTGTTGGGTGGTCCATTTCCTGGGTCGGGTTCAGAAGCTTGGGCCAATTTGATCAGGTCGGAGATCTCCCAGGAAACAGTGGCCACTGTACAGCTGGCAGGGAGAATGGAGTCCGGGGTTTCATGCTTGTCAGGTGAGTACAGGCAAGACAGAGAGTCAGGTTTGATGTTTTTAGACACAGGCCGGTAGGAGATAATCAGGTTAAAGCGGGAGAAAAACAGAGACCAACGGGACTGACGGGGATTGGATCTTTTGGCTGACTGAATATATGACAAGTTCTTATGATCTGTCCATACCAGAACGGGATGCTCTGCGCCCTCCAGCCAATGCTGCCATTCTTCGAGAGCCAGTTTTATTGCGAGAAGTTCTCTATCGCCGACATCATAATTTTGCTCTGCAGGTGAAAGTCTGCGGGAGAAAAAGGCGCATGGGTCCTCCACTGGACTCAGTGGAGGAAGTGGCTCAAATATAAAGAAACAGGTTGAGAGGAGGGTGCTGTCCAAGCTTCCATCCACCATAGACAACACTTTTCACTCACTGCACCAGAGTGTAGAGGAGCTGAGCAGCTCCTTTAGTCAAAGACTTTTACACCCTTATTGTAAAAAGAAGCGCTACCATAGGTCATTCATCCCTGCTGCAACCAGACTCTACAATGCAACACTACAACCTTTATAACTTGTGCAATGTATAATGTTCAATTACTATTTGATACCCTGTGCAAAAACCTGCATAGTAATCCTGTTTTGTTTTTGTTTTGTGTTTTCTTTTTAAAAAAAGGACTTATTGTTTAAGTTATTACCATACTTACACCCATTTCCCCTGCCTTTGATAAATCTATTACAAAATCATAGTTGGAATATAAATAAATGTAGTGTGTTTAGTTTTGTGTACTTTAACATTACCCAGAAATAACCAACAACTGACTGGGCTGCAGCCAGTTTGTCCTAATCTGTGTTTCTCTTAAGATATTTGTTGACGAACTGTTGTCAGTAATTCTGTTTCTAAGCAGAAACACGTCTGCAGATGCATGAAGGGGTGTTTGTGGGTTTCCTGCTAGTTTACACAAATACTTTTCCATCTTGGACCTGGTAACATGTAACATGAAAATTGTGAAACTCTTAGATTAACTATCAAGCTTATTCTTTCTTTCATAAAGCTTTTCTGGAGATTTCCCCAGTTGCTCCAAGCTTAACAAACTACTAGTTCTAGAACTGGACAGTCAGCTCCAAGACTTTAATAAAAGCCACATTAGTGTTTTGTTGAGGAAACATTTAGCTTCATTGTGGTCATGAATGTTTGTGAACACAAAGCTGTTAGAAACTTTAGGCTTAGCCCTCTACCTCTTTTCTCTGTAAAACAGGAAACCCACAACGACCATGAGACCTTTCTACCTCTGCGTAAGTTAACCCACTGATCCTGCAGAGTTTCACTGTCCAAAGCCAGCTATACATGTTAAGATCACACAATGAGCCTAAACTGCATCAAATACTCTGTAACCAAGTGTTGGGCTGTTGGTGTCTGGTTTGTTTTTATCTACATGAAGGAAACTCTGCAAACACCTAGACAACAAATATGGTGACCTATAGTTAGGGTCTCACTCTTACTAGAAGTTGATTCTTTCCTTTATTTTAGAGAAGCAGCTAATTAATAAAAAGACTAATGGAAACATAAAACCAAACAGATCCAAGCAGGTTTCACAGCTTTTGTCTTTCCACAGCATGTTCACTCATTTTTGAAAAATGTCCTGAATGTATTGTCATATTTTTTATTTGGGTTTTTTAACATTTTTATAAAGGGAGTTTACAGGAGGAAAAACGTTCAGTTCTCCTC